GATATCGTGGGTGGAGAATCATGAAGATCGCGTTGGCGGACGTGACGAAAGCGACGCCACAAAGGGCGTCGTCGCCGACCTTGGACAACGTAAGCGTCTATTTTAGTATCGTCAAATTAATAAATGGATTGATACCGTTCTGCGTCAGACAGTGTAAGCCAGTTGGCTTTATAAGAAGTACAAGGGTTCTTTAGAAAAAAAAAAAAAATATTAATCATAACTAGCCGGCAAGTTGTCTCTGATATGATTTTCCTATTGTTAGGCAACATTCACGGATGACAATTACATATGATAATATGCTCCGCTTTAAATTCGTCATTTTTAACCCTAACGAGCTACCATTGTAAAACGTTTGTTTTTTCGTCTCTCGTCTTCCCAGATATATATTTAATCCTCGTCTTTAATCCCTTTAATCCTTGAACATCGCAGTGGGTTACGCAAAGTCAGCCTGGCTTTCCCGTCGCTCGAGCGTCTGCTGGAATGCGCCGTTTGCGGGTTAATCCATCCTGTATCCGAATACGCAATTCTTTACTGTCCTACGAACAACTCGAGAAACGTATCGCAGCGACCTTATTTGTTCTTCGAGGATATAGCGCTATTGCGTGAAATAGACTGTTCTGGGGTAGCTGCGTCTGATTGAACTGTCTTTCACTACATACCTATAGGTAACATCGGCACTAGCAAGTGTCTTTGTATGGCTCGAGATTTCGCTGCTTTCATAAAGTGGCGGTTGTGTGAAAAATGTTAAATATCCACAGGGTTGCTCGAGGGTGTCGAGGGCATTTTTACGAGTGTCTAATTTGGCATTTCGTGTATGCTGGGAATGAGTCGTGAGCATTTTCCTTTTGTGTCATCTTGTTGTGTACGTGTCTCTTAGCGACGCTGAGAAGTTAGCTCAGGGCTTTCCTTGTTGGCACGGATTATAATAATCCGTGGGTTGTAATCCGTTCCGTTATTCCACCAAAGACCTGATCTAATTCAACGCGAGGCTCCCGCGTATCCTTAATATTTGTCCTGCGCACTGAGCTTATACCGTGTCGTTCCCGCAGAAACACCTAATAGGTACACCCCTGTATTTTGCCTAGCGTAAATCTGTAATTCATGTTTTTTTTTTTTTTTTTTTTTTTTTTTTCGTAAAGT